GGGAAATAGCAAAGGTATTGAAATAACAAAGCCAAAAATACAATATCATATGTTTACAGCATAAGTTTAACTGATTCAGGACCACCATACGTAAATAAACTGTGGCATCCTGAAGCAGTTATACCAAGATTTTGGTACTGTTTTAAAGAGCTGACAATGGCTGTTCACATATGGTTACATAGTATTTGAGGTTGAATAAAGACATTAGTCCATCAAGTCCAACCTATTAGGATCTCATTCTTAGTTACAAACTACCGATGTTAGACTGACCGGCCTATAGTTCCAGGCTCTATAGCCACCGGCTGTTCACATACAACTGATCCGGTGGCTATAGAGTGCGGTGCTTGGGAGTGTGTTAACCCTCTGACGCCGCCGAACCAGCATGGCGGGTCTGTTCACTTTGACTGGAGGGAGATCAGCATACTTCCAGCATCTGGTCTCCCCTCCGATCACTGAACCTGGAAGCAATGTGTATTACATCACCTCTATGTTCAATGTGTAATTTCTCTGGCTCCTGTAGCTCGAGGATGAAGCTCATGAAGTAGATCTCTGCTTTATCAGCTTCTTTGGGGTCCCTAATAGACCCCTGATGTCTCCATAAAAAAATCCTGTCAGGTCCTCTTTGCTATTGCATAGTGGGCTTGTTAGCCCCTTATGTGATAGCAATAAAATTAAGTGAAAAACAAAATTAAACCCACATATAAAAATTTTTTTTTAAAACAGCAAAAATAAAATTTTCAAAGTCCCCCACCTCCTTGTACACGCACATACAAATGCACTTATGTGTGAAAACGACGTGTGTGCTACCCATGTTACACATCCCATATCACTTCGGCATGAGTATGCCTGTCACGTGAGCAAATATATGGACTGCTATTGTTTACCTCCTGCTGAAAATTCAAACTGTGTGGCTGTGCCTGGATAGTACACCTAGGATTTAAAAGCGGACTGTATTTGTGGCCAAGCTCATGGCCAGTCAAGATCAAAAGGAGCACAAGCTTCCACACTGATTAAGCATTGTTACATTAGGTCCAGTCCTCCAATAAGCTAACATTTTTTCTGTTACCTGACCCCCCTCCCTCAGGACACTTTATGGGCAAACACTTTTTTGCATCTGTTTCACATGTGTATTTGTCTTGTACTATATTTTTAAAAAACCTCCATCTATAATCCCCATTAACTTAATAATATATAACGCTGTGATGATCCGTTTGTGCAGGTCGGACTTGACGGAACAGGGAAAGTAAGTAGCGCAGCCTTGGCCTGCTACATATCAGATTGCAAGCTCTTTCGGTTGTCCATAATGCAGAGTTACAGCCACGCGGAATTCAGGGAGGAGCTGAAGAAAGTATTTAAGGAAGCTGGACTCCAAAGCAAGAACGTGGTACTCCTCATCAGAGGCTCTGACATCATTCAGGTAAAATGTCATCTGCCAAAGTATATAGTTTAGCCAGATCCTCTTGAAGGGACATATTTTATCATTTTGGGGGTTATTCACAAAAGGGTGAAGAGTTTGGAGAAGTCAGGAGAAGTGAACAATTTAGGCCAAAATAGCTGATTTGGAAAAATTCTCCAATTTAGCTCACTTTCCAGGTCAGCTATATTGTCCTATATTGTTCACTTCTCCTTCCTTCCCCAAACTCTTCACCCTTTTGTGAATAACCCCTTTTGTGTACAAAAGAATTTATGGCTGATAAGCTACCACAAATGTCCACCAAGTTTACATTTATTTGAGCTTTAAAACAATGGGAATACTGCTGTTCTATATGATAGGAAAATGGTTGGCATACTGATGTTCTATATGAAGGCAAAGTAAAGAGCTCGTCAACTGCCAAAGTTATCCTCACAATGTAAAAAAACAATATTTTCTCAGCTCACCAGTAGCAGTGAGATGAATCCCTTGGATCAGTGAAGCTACTAAGCATTTGAGCATCTTGTTCCAGCACCCATCTTTTTGCCTATGATAAATTATGCTTACAATGGGTGTGCATGTCCTATTATTTATGCCAACTGTATTGGGTTAAAAGTAATGTAATGCTAGCATTCAGGATATGGAATCCTTTTTCATTTCACATGCCTCTATGTATATTTTTCTCCACATTAACATGCAGGCTAAGCTGTCTAGTAAAAGTAACAGTTATAAGGGTTGGGACAAGCCATATAACAATGCCGGTGGTGCATACAACCTTTAGCTTTTATGCATACAATGTAAAGTGGAACTGTGGGTACAGTCAATAATAACATATGTGATGCCGTCTGTTGCTAGTATTAACACAGCAGTTTTTTGTTTGTCCCACTTGTGATATTGTTTTATTAACTATAGATCCTGCTGATAGAACTGTCATTTCACCTATTCCTGTAATGAGTGACAACGCTGTTTGCTACACAGTGAAATCACACAGCAATGTTGTGACCTTATAGGCAGGGTAGTCGGAAATGGACTGTAGGAATGTAGGAAAAGACTGGGAACCCTGTCAGGTTTTCATTGAGGTCTATGTCCCCACTGGGGAGAAGCTCCCTATTTATCCTTGTGACCACTGTTACAGGGACAGAAAAGAGGTGAAATGTAAAATGTTATTGTTGCCATCAGAACAAGAGTTGAGGCAAAATCTTCCAATGGGGACACTTGCTCCGGTGACGGCTCTCTTACAGTGGATTTTATCTCACTTCTTGTTGTGTCTAAGGGTCAGGAAGTGAAGGAAAATCTCCCCATAGGGACACAGATGGCAAAAAAAATTTAACACTTCTCTATCTGAAAAGCTTTGGCTTGAGATAAGCCTTGATTTCTGCCTTGATTTCTATTTGAGCTGCCTAAATGACAGCTGAAATTTTGAATGGGATGCAATGGTATACATAGACACTTCTTATCACGTGTCTACTCTTTGATCTGAACCTTTTTTTAAAACATCATTATCAGCTCTTCAGTTTATAACCAAAGAGATTGGCACTAGATACTGGAATATTATAGATTCTACCTTTGTCTTTGCGCAGGATTCCTTCCTGGAGGATATAGACAGCATCCTGAATTCGGGAGAAGTTCCTCACCTGTTTGACAAAGAGGAACTGGATGGTCTCTTTGTGGAGCTCCGAACAGAGGCCGCAGAGGCCAACATGTCTGACAGTGCACAGTCTATGCTGACCTTCTTCTTACAGGTAGATCACTCCTCTGTGTAGAGGTGGAATATCAGCTGATTCAATGCCATACATAGACAAAGAGTGCCTGATATTCTATTGTCCATCTCATCCATCTCATCTTGTCCTTTTTATCCTTTACCGCTACACATTTTTGTTTGCAAGATTTCTCATCTGTTATACTAAAACAGCTTAAAGAGATCTTCAGTGCGCTAATGAACCAGATGTTCAATGAAGCTTATTATGTTTTTGAGTCAGTTCACGTAGGGTCCATTTAATTCTATGCATTGTGGCAGTTCATTTTGATATTTGTTTAGACCAGCTCATTGCTTTATAGCGCAGTACAATATGTGCATTACGGCAATTTGAGGTATCAAATTAGATGCTTATTATTGCATTGTGGTGCTGTTCATTTTAAATGGCACTCCAATGCACTCCTGCGTAACAGCACACCAAATTGGTGAATTGTGGCGCGCTGTTGAAAAATGCAGCTTTAAACAAATATTTGAGGTTCATACAGCCCATTTGTCTTAAGCTGGGTAAAACAATGAACCTCACCACATGAAAATACTTGCGTTGTGGCGCAGTGCTTAGTAGTGTGAACGTGCCTCCACAGTGGCTAACCATTCTTGAATGTGTTGTGATGTATTGGCAACCCATTCAAAATAAATGGCTGCCCTAACACAATGCACGTAAACATGTGATACCACATTAACGCACTGTAAGCAGCTTTAACATTTGAATATGCCCTAAAGGACGTTGCATTCAGTATTTTCATTACTGTGAGTTTTTGCTATTTTTGACAGTTTGGGATGTTGTTTTAAGTTCACTTAAGGGGACGGGAAGTCCTATGTTCCTGCATTTATATTGAGACATCAGGAAAAATAATGATGTTACATCTGCATAACAGGGACACCAACAAACAGGAGTAAAAAAAACTGATGGAGGTTCTAAGCCTTCTACACTCCATCCAAAGTTAGAAAAAAGCTTTAATAGTAGTTATACTTTTCCTTCCCATGTGCACGTCAACAGATAAAAACTGACTGAGTTGCTTGCCATTATTCCCCTTTTTTGCATGTCCACATTTGACAATATCAGACAGGGTCCTGATTGCCCACTAATCAGATCTGCAGTAGTATGGGCAAGTTTAGGTCCTTCTTGGCTTTGTCTCTCCTCATTTTTAAACTCATCTAAAGGACTATGTGACATTTAAAAATCTCTCCTTGGCTGCAGCGGGTCCGTTCGAAGCTACATGTGGTCCTAGCCCTGAGTCCTGCAGGACAGACATTCCGTGAACACTGCCGATCGCACCCATCTCTGGTCAACTGCTGTACTATCGACTGGTATGACGAGTGGCCAGAAGAGGCCCTCTGCAGTGTGGTCAACAGTTACATTGCAGAACACCATCTGCTGCAAGACAACCAGGTGCGCTACCGGATCCTTTTGTCTCATGCTACTCATGCTACAGTTTCTCCCCTGTTGAAGATCCCAATCAACTCTGGCCTTCACTCCCACACAGAGTTTTCTCCCTTCCTCCTGATGCTGGTCTCTCATTTTCTTCTGCTGTCTCCATAATGTAAAAGAATCCAGGTGACCTCCTTGCACTTACTACATCAGGTGGGAGGAGCTGGGAACTCAGTTGCAGAGATCTTAGGGCTTATAAACACCGGCGTATGCTAGGCAGAACTCTTGCTGGAAGAGAAACTAGCCCCATGTACATAATGTGAAGCCAAATTTGCACCCTGTATAAACCCATGTCTGGCACCTCCACTGTTACGTGTAATTGGTACCTCTGACCGGCCCTGGACACATGTAAGGCACGGGAGAAGCAGCAGAATTGCTTTTGTTTCAAAGTGGTACCACTGCAACAATCCATAGGAAGGAACTATTACCCAAAAGTGGGCCAAGATCTAGTGCCCGATGTTTCAACTGCTGGGTGCAGAGCAATAATATAAATAAGGCTCAATTCTCAAAGCTGTAACAAAAAGTATAATGATCTTTATTTTCAGCCATGTGACTGTAATTTTCAATTCTTACTGGATTCAGCTGAAAATATTTTTTTCACTTTTTGTGAAAATAAGTATCTTTATCCTGGTGCTTTATCTTTATTAATTGAGCCTAACGTAGGTTGCATTAATTAGGAGTGAGGATTGCTGCAGATGAAGACAAATTGTGCCTTAAAGTATCTCTAAAGCCCACATTTGTTTTTGTTTTATGTTTTATTTAGAAGAGGGTTAAAAATCCTGAGGGGAATTTATCAAAACTGCAGCAGAAAAAATATGGAGCAGTTTCCCATGGCAACCAATCAGCTTCTCTCTTCAGTTGGTTCTGTGAAGATTTGAAAATGAAAGATAGAAGCTCATTGGTTGCTGTGCACATCCGGATTTTGATATGATCCAGATTTTGTCTGCTCCTGTTTTGATAAATTCACTTCCCTGTGTTTTGTTTTGGGGTTTTTTTGTTGTCTATGTCCAGTTGAGGAGATTTCTTTCCACATCCTGTCCTAGATACACAACAGCAAGTGATAGGAAATCTCTGCAAAGTGATGGTAAACTGCTGTTATATTTTTGCCTCCAGAATAGATGTCCCCTTTGGAAGATCTCCCCTAACAGCCTGTTCCAGTGGCAATCTGTTCCAAAGACAGTGGTCACCATGACAAATAGCAGGGGCACAGACAGCAATGAAAACCTGTTAAAGAGAAACACAATCACACTTACCTTTTCTATTATACCTTTTCTTGAAAAAAAAATTAAATACAATGAAGTGAAAGCTATACTAGAACCCCGTACTAAAAGAAACTTGATGAGAGCTTAGGATTGTAGGCTTTGCTAATTCCAGTGTAATTAAAACAATTTCTTTATTTACACATGTATATAAAAACAAATAAATGTATACCAACACCATAGATACTTACAAATGCAGAATCCTGGATCACAAAAAAATATACAGGAAAGATTGTTCGGTTATCATAACATTCAATTCAAACATATTGCATGTTCCCACATTCCATTGTTAGAATATTGCATTCGTTGCGCACATAAGTAAGGTGAGTACTCAACGGGATAATATCTTTGGTATACAATTGTAAGAGCCATTCGTAAATGAATATTCATGTTCTGATAGATACCCAAGAACAGTTCCTTCCAATCCACAGGTACAGATATATTGAAACTAGGGATGCACCGATATATCGGCCGCCGAAACATATCGGCCGAAAATGGCACTTTTGGCTAAATGCCCAAAGTGCTATTTTCCTGCCGATACATCGGCGCATTCCAGGTTTCTTTCCTCCCCGCTGGGCCCTGCTCTGTGTTCCAGCGGGGAGGAGAGAAAGTGACAGCCAGCCGAGCGGTGCGGGAGAGGAGAGCGCTGTGAGCAGCTGGTGTCTCTCCTTCCACACCGCTCAGCCACCTATCACAGTCCGGCAGAGCGGTGTGGGGGCGGAGATAGCCGGTGCTGTCACAGGAGGCTGAGATCTCCTCCCTACACCACTCGATCAGCATCCTGTGACAGCTGTCAGGAAGGAGAGTTAAAACAGGAAATGGCTTTCATACACTGTATTTGATATTGGTAGACCTGACCATCTCAATCCCTCATCCAGCAATAAAAACTTGCCAGGGATTTAGCACTTCTCTATACTGTACAAAACTGAAAAAAATAAAGGTTTTGGCTAGAGATGCCCATTAATTTTCACTTTAAAACTGAACTCTGGGCACAAGAAACAAAAATATATTCCTCAATAGCACCAAATGTCTTTGCTTACCCAGTTGTTACCTTGTCAAAGTAGTGGTGACATCATCACTGTGCTGCATATAACTTGTGCAGAGAACAGAACTGTGGGAGGGACCCAGCAGGTCTCACCAACTACAGGCTGTGTGCAGAAACGACAGGAAGGGGCGGAGACAAGACCAGTCACCCTGCACAAGAAGAGAGCGCAGAAGCGACTGGTCTTTATTACAGGAAGTTCGTTCACAAAGGCAAACTTTCACACTGAATTACTACACAATCCTCTAAGAAATACATGCATGCCTCTTATATTTAGACACTATTTGGCTTATCCATGAGTTTAGCTTTGATTAACCTTTTCCATAAGAAATGAACTTCTGCAGTAGTGGTGACACTTGTGATAAGCAGGTTTGTGGTGTCCTCTGCAGGGTCTTCAGGACAGGATCGCTCAGGTCTGCGTTTCCATTCACGAAAGTGTTTCCAGCAAAGCAGAACAATATTTAAAGGAGAGCAGAAGACATTATTATGTGACCCCCCAGAGCTACCTGAGCTTCATAGACACCTTCTCACACATCCTACAGACCAAGAGAGAAACAGTGACCACAGACAGGTAAAGGATGTTGCTAACTAGTAATAATAATAATTGGGTGTACTGTCTGCCATCCACTCCACATTAGTGTTGGTATTACTTTTGATCTTGTTTTTGGTGAGGTCTTTTTCGGAGAGAGGGAGAGTCTAGTTCTGTATAGTGGCCACATCTACATAAACCTTTTTGTCAGGTATTCTAGGTCAGTGGTACTCAACCTGTGTAACCTCAGGACCCACATTTGTCCTTGGTCATTAAGTCATGACCTAAGTTGCACAGCAATGGAATACATGACATTGCGGTACCCCGCATTCCGGTGTGTGGTAGGTGTGATTGCATGGTACAGGGCATTAATTGCACTGTGTGATTAATGCACTGTACTAGTGTGAACGGTCCCTCAAAAACATTGACAAACACACACAGCCACAGACACAATCTCACACACTCAGACATTCTCACACACATACACACTTTTTTTTTTCTTTTTAAGATCCACCCAGTCTCCCTATCTTACGAGAACTGGAGTGGATCCTCAGCCTGGGGTCCAGTGTGGGCTGCTGTGCTGTGATGGAGCTCCATCCAAATGTGCATTGCTTGTACAGCCCCCCTTGCGCACCCTGTAGGAGTGCCGGGAGTCAGAATGTGAGGTCACTCAGGTCCAGGCACCTCTATAGGGCACGAGATGGAGCTGTAAGCAATGCATGTATGGATGGAGTTCCCTCGTGGCCATAACTCAACCCCACCTCAAGCTGACACTCAACACTGGGCATAATATTTTGAATGGCTGCTTGGCGTGAGAAGTGACAGTGCTGTGCTAGGGAGAGGCTGAGGAGCCACTTACCTAAAAAAGTGGAAGGCACATGGTGACCCACTGAAAACGGGGTCGCGACCTACTTTTGGGTCACAACCCATCAGTTGAGAACCAAGGTTCTAGATAGAAAACAGCTGCCATCACCATTGTCTTGCAGGCAGATAAAAATTGGTTCTGCGTTGACTATTTCTGTGTCCTTTCCCTTAATCCCATGTTCTTATAATAATAAAGATGCTTTATGGATGAAGACAAAGTGAAAACTAGTCAAAACTGCAATTGTTTATGCAATTGCTGTAGTGCAACGTGCGATATCAGAATGCCTTGCCCTCCGGCGCAGTGGTAAAGAAGTAGTATATGTGCTACTTTTTCTCACTGCAATACACGATATTGCGGTACCGCATGTTGTTCTGCACTGAAATGCACAGCTGCCAGGTGGTGCGTTCGGGTGCCATTCAAATCGATGGCAATGCAACACAGCTAGCACATGGTTCTGCACGCTAGGTGTGTTGTGTAATAGCGCACTAAATGCATGGTAGCCTGCGAATAGCACAACACTCCGGTGTGAATGGGTCCTTAGGGTTGCTGATATTGGATCAGCCAGGTGTGTGAAGCTGCATGCTTTTTATTGCAAACATACACTTAAAGCATCTGATACTCCTGCAGTACTTAAAAGTTTGCTCTCCCCAGCTCAGACTACCACTGGTGTTAAAGGAGAACTATGGGGTCAGTGTTTTTCCCCATAGTTCTCCTTAGGGTAACGGGAGGACACAAACTAGCGTCCTCCCGTTACCCTAAGCTCAGTATACCGCGAGCTACAGCTCGCGGTATACTGAGACGCCGCAGCCGGAGCGGATCCCGACTTAGAAGACGGGATCCGCCCAGCGGCGTGAGTGACAGCTGGCTCTGCCTATCTAGAGGCAGAGCCAGCTGTACCCGCCCCCTCCCCCGTCCGTTCCGCCAGTCAGCGCTGGCAGATCGGAGCGGGGAGAGGGGAATCCAGCCCCTCCCCCTGTCACGGCAGAGAGCCGTGACAGGATCAAGAGGTGAGCGAACCCGGTATGTGTTCCCTCACCTCCCGATCTACTGAGCCGACCTGTGACAGTCTCATTGTCACAGGTCGGCTTGAACTATGAGGTGAGTGGAAATCACTCATCTCATAGTTCTCCTTTAAGTGGTATTACCCTGATAGGCCCTCTGGTCATTTGCTGCCACTTTGGTGTAGGTGAGGGGTAGGTAACCTCGGCACTCCAACTATGCTAAAACTTCAAAACCCCATCATGCCTCTCTGAGCCATGCCTATGGCTGTCAGAGTTTTTCAATGCCTCATTGTACTTGTAGTTCTAAAACAACTGAGGTCCCAAGGTTGCCTATAGCTGGTGTAGGTCAAGATACATGAACAGAGATAACTGATCTAACCCTCCTCACCTTCCCTTTACTGCACATATGCTACTCATGATAGTTAAAATTATGCACACTCAGACCACAGTTAATTTGTAGATATGCTGGTACTTCGGCATTCATGAAATATGTCTGTATGCTATACACGGGTTTACTCTATTACTCATGTATACCGACATACAGCTGTGCATAGCCATTCATGTCTATGCACAGTTGTACTCAGAACCTGGGCTGCACAGATGCAAAAACAGCTAACATTTTTACATTGTATGCCCCAATTTGCCCATGTGCGTGAGCTCTAATTAGATACCGTACGTCAAGTTACTTGGTTCTGTGTCGGTTGTTCATGTGCAAATTGAAGATTGTTGTTTTTCTCAAATAAAGACTTCTTGACAGGAGGCAGTCTTTCAAACCTTCCAGTCAGTATATGTATGTGTTATAGTGATTTATTTTTCTCTTAGAAATCGTTTCTATACTGGGCTGTCTAAGCTGCTTGAGGCCTCCTCATCCATTGAGATCATGCAGCATGAGCTGGTGGCTCTGGGACCACAAATAGAGCAAAAATCAAAGGTAACGTTGTTGTGACATTTTGTTATATACATCACCCGGGATCTCCTAGTTCCTCCTCAGCTGATGGCCCTTGGCTTCACCCATAGTTGATGTACATCAAACCATTCTTTTTTCATTGTAAATATTTTTGATGTTAAGGAAATAGAAGAATTGATGGCTAAACTTCAGAGAGACTCGGTTGTTGTGGAACAAGTTCGAGCCATTGTAAAGCAGGAAGAAGAGGTGATGGCTCAAGAAACCAGAATTGTACAAGAATATGCCGAGGTAACAGGTCTTTTCACGTGGTTTGTCTTGTAAGCAAGGCTGGATTTAACTTTAGGTGAAGAAGGTTATTATCAGTAGAATTATCAGTAGAAATATAGTGAGATCCTGTTACCAGACCCTTTACTTCAACAACAATCTTCCCAAATGTTATGTGTTCATTTTATTCATGGTTTTTATCTGTCAAAAACCTCCCTTGTGTACACATCTAGAAGGGCTGCTGTGTGCTGCCAACTTGGAGGTGATGTCAGCAGCTCCAGCAGACACAGAGCTGTCACTCATTTGACAATTATAGTATTCCCATTTGCTTCTCCCTCAGCTGCTAATTGAAAAAATAAATATGGAGATGAGGAGAGAGGCGAAGGAGCTAGACCAGCACAGTCAGTAATTATACATTCCCAGGAGAGGGCTATGACGTGTAAGCAAGTAGAGGGCTGTTCTGGGGAATAGACTTCTCCTGAAGTAGTCAAATTTTTTGCAGGTTTAAAGACGCATTGCAAGTGAATAAAAAAATTTTTTTTTTGCAGCAAGCCCAACGAGAGCTTAGTGAGGTCCTGCCCGCTCTAGCAGAGGCCGTGTCAGCTCTGGATTCCCTGGACAAATCTGACATTTCAGAAGTCAAGTAAGTGACATCATAAAAGCTGCGACATATATACTTGGAATTCATTGTGTAATGACTGGAAAGAGTTACCTGGCTGTCTTTGGAATCCCTAAACTGGAGCAAACATGCAGCAAGCAAAGTTAGAGTGCAACCAGAACTCTTGATTGGAGTTGTGGTTTGGTTTTATTTCTCATTAACTGGCACCTAGTCATGGGAGGACTGCATTTATCCCTCCACCCCAGGCAAGTATAAAAGATTTGGGTTGGTGGCCCTGAGTGGAGATCTTCCACCTTTCAGACCTCAGTCAGAGAGGAAACTGTAGTCAGTTACAGAATATTTGTGATAATTGCATAGTATTTTATTTAAGTGACTCAGTGTCATTTCCAGAAGGCAGCAGTCATTCTTGTTTAGCCCAAAAGTTGTTCATCATTTATATTTCCATTTTGTTTAACATATACAGCATATAAATGGGCAAAGATGTGTCACAAATGAACCATGTTCTTTTCAACACCACCCACCAGGTCTGCCAAATGTGGCAGTATTAAGATAAACTTTCTTTAGCCCACAGGAATCTGCTTCTGCCATTAAAGGACCAGTTGGCCTTGTTAACCCCTCATGCCAAAGGTTCCCAGTCTCGTTCTAACCAGGCCTCTTGTATAAGCTAGCAATCTTCTAAAAATACTAACAGATATCAGAAAAATGTGACCGATAGCAAATGTGAAACTCATTGTCACTAATTGAAACCAAGGTTAGCCATTCAACTTGCTGTATTTGAGATTAAATGTTAAACACTATCATGCAGAGTGTACACAAATCCTCCATTCCTGGTGCTGACGGTCATGAACGCTGTATGCGTGCTTCTGCAGAAGAAACCTGATTGGGCCACAGCCAAACTCCTCCTTGGAGACCAGGGATTCCTCAAGAGATTGGTCAGCCTTGACAAGGACCACGTGTCGGAGAAGGTATTGTTTTATTAAAAGCCACATCCTGGTCCACCAATCATTGAGAAGTGATTGGTTCAGTGTAGATTTGTTGAATGTATTATTATTATTGTTGCTGATTAGAGAGATGAAAGAAGAATTAATAACACCTTCATATCACCCAGAAGTCCTAGACCTAGAGCCAGGCTGAAAGTAGTAATATACAGTATACTGAATTGTTATATGTAGATGATATGTAGAATTATGTTAATATGGATACTGAAAGAACCAGAAGTTAGACAGGCGGTGGCAGGTTATGAATTTTATGAATTTTATTATGAATTTTTTTTTTTTAAATCAGCTTGATTTAAATAATCTCATCAATGTGTTTGCTTTTAAAATATTGTTTCTTGTATAGTTTGTATTATATATATACTTGGGGGCAGCTATATTTACTCATTACAAAGTCAGTCTCTGCCTCGTGCTTTGCAGTGCTGCACAATGATTATAATTTACCTCTGGTTCTAACAACACAAGTCTATAAGCCATATGACCTATTGAAAACAATGCTCTCCATTTGTGGCTTTAGTCTTTCGTCAGCAGTTGTTAGAGGAAATTAACTCTTGAAGCTGTTCCCAAAAAAGGCAAGCAGAAGGCAAAGGACTAGTCACCAGTATTGCCTGTATGCTTGCTGCAGCTATTCCCAATTACTGGCTTAGCATGCCTTGTTCTGCACTTTGTGTCTGTAGGGAAGCAGTCATCATTGTAGAAGCAGAGTTTTGCTTCCTCAGAGCTGTCCACCTGATGACTGGTGATCTAATGACTAGTGGGGTAATGATCAAGAAGCAGTAGGAGAGGTGGAGGAAACATAAATCTATAGAATGAATGAGGCAAAAGCAGGGAGATCATTGCACTGCAGCTTCTTGGCTACAGCTTCCTCCCCAGCAAGGAGAACAGTGAGCAGCACAGCAGTGAGATTACGAAATCTCGTTACATAGTTACATAGTTACATAGTATTTGGGGTTGAATAAAGACATACGTCCATCAAGTCCAACCCATATCGGTCCACGCATCATCCCATTATTAGGTATACTGGTATCCCTGGATATTACGGTCCCTCAAGAAATTTTCCAAACGTTTCTTGAACAAATCTACACTCGTGGCTGAAATCACTGCCGATGGCAGTGACTTCCAGACCTTAACCGCTCTTACTGTAAAGAACCCTCTTCGTCCATTGTGCTGGAATTTTTTCTCCACCAACTTTAGGTGGTGGCCTCTCGTCTTTGTAATGGAGTTGAGACTGCTAGTGAGACTTAGCAGTCAGAGGCAGCAATGCCTTAGTTGATCTCACAGTGAAAAAATATAGCTATTATGCTTCAGGCACAGAAGTGCTTAGGCACAGGAAATTTGCATTTTTCCAAGTACTACTTAGGTACAATTAACCTTGTTTACTATAACCTAGCATACCTTTACTTTTTTTGTTCAGGTCCTCTTTAGGTAGTGTGGTTATATTTGATACAGTAAGAAAACAAGTAAGAGCTAGCATGGCTAAAGTGACACTAAAATCAGGAGTTACATCTTAAAAATGCATTCAAGTACTTTAACTATTAACAGAAATGTATCTTATTTGTGTATCACTCGGCTGTAGATCCTCCAGTGATCTCTGAATTGGTGCTGACACTGTCCTTCCTTCTGGAGGGGGGCTACTTTTGTTCCCCATGGTCCCTGTGTGTGTTGTAAAGTAGTCACCACTCCAAGCTCACTCCTGTGATGGACTACAATCTCAATACAAATGAGTAAACTAAATGTGAGATTGTAGTCTATCACAGGAGCATGCTTGGAGCGGTGACTACTTTACAACACACACACAGGGCCCATGGGGAACAAAAGTAGCCCCCCTCCAGAAGGAAGTGGTTCATGTGACTTGTAATTTATGCTTTGCTGTTATCTACTTACAGGTTTTCCATCATTTAAAGAAATATACGAGCACCTCAGATTTTAACCCACAGAAAGTTGGTTTAGTGTCCACAGCCTGCCGATCTCTGTGTCAGTGGGTGCTGGCTCTAGAGCACTATCATGAAGTTCACAAGGTACGTAGGCCACAAGTTAGAGGAAAGAACTGGTCATTGTACATGGATGCCTTTCCTTTTTAGGAAGCCTTCAACTTTCATGGCAGAATTTAGGTTGTCCGTGAATATTGGGAGATTGTGGATTTGACCCTTGGACCGCTGTCTTTTCTTCAAGATTTGTACATCAATTAATCAACTGGTGCACTTACACTTATATTGTTAAATATATTCTGAGCCTGGTCCATGGATGCCCCCTGCAATCTCTGTTCAATTCTATGAAGAGTTCATACTCCACCTGCACACGGAGTACAAACTGTCCATAACATTGAAAGGAGAGACTACTACCCAATGTGTAGACCCAGCTTAGAAAAGTTTGATAAGCAACTCAGGGGCTTGCTGGGTAATATTTCCCAGTGTGTATAAGACTTGCAGGGGGTGTGTGGGACAGTAGATTTTAAGTGTAAGCAGAACTCCACTCAAGTATCTAAATACTGTACATGGTTGCACTACATGCAAATTAACTTTTGCCCTGTATCTGTATTTTAGTGTCTGTAATTGGGTTCATCCAGCCCTGCAACCCTGCCAGAGAACATAGCCAGTTTGGTCACCACACTTGTTGTTCCATAACTTGGGCCCATCCTCCTACCCTACTGTTGTCTCATAACCTGAGCACATCCTCCCACACTTCAGTATTATCCCATAACTTGGACCTGCCCTCCTGCATGTCAATATTGTCCCATAACGTGGACCTGCCCCCCTGCACCTCACCATTTTCCCTTAAGTTGGACCTGCCCTCCTGCATGTCAATATTGTCTCATAATTTTGGACCTGCCCTCCTGCACCTCACCATTGTGCTATAACTTAGACCTACCCTTCTGCACCTCACCATTGTCCCATAACTTGGACCTGCTCTCCTGCACCTCACCATTGTCCCATAACTTGGACCTGCCCCCTTGCACGTCACTGGTGTCCCATAACTTGGACCTGCCCTCCTGCACCTTACTGGTGTCCCATAATTCGGACCTTCCCTTCTGTACCCCACTATTGTCCCACAGCTTGGGCCCATTGAGAATTGGTAAAATGCAGTAGGGGCAAACTGAGCACAACTACACTAAAAGGACACAGACAGTAATACAACCATGGTAAATAACCCCTTTGAACTGTGTTCAAACTATAAAACAATGTTTTTGCTACAGTTCCAGTTTAATACTTTAAGCATCTAACGTCAAAATTAACTTTGTGCATGACTTTGGATGACTCGTTTTTCTTGCTGGGATTTTACATGTCCTGTTTTATTTCAGATGATGATACCCAAACAACACCATGTGGCAGAAGCCCAGGAGGCCCTGAAGCTGGCCCAGGAAAGACTTAGACAGAAACAAGCCAATTTATCCCTGGTAAAGCTCTACCTCTATTCCTCATGACTCTCTACATAAATGTATCTTCATTGCACTGTTCAGTCAGTGCAGAGAGAGACAGCTAAACTCCAGACAGCTAAATAAGGCTGTGTTATAGCTAAAGAAGGAACACATTGGAGGCGAATGAAATGGCAGAGAAGATGGTAGCGGTGGTGACAGAGAGCATGGAGCTGTCATCAGTGAAAGAGTGCAAACTAAGGGGAAAATCTGCCATAAAGTACATGCATGCTATGCATATTATGGCAAGTGCTACCACGGCATCCACTGCCCTAGTTCCTCTAGAGACCATTACTAAACTCCTAAACATAAAATTAATATTATTGCAGCTTACCAATAATTAGATAAGGTGTCTAATACTTCCTGACCCTTCATGTCTACTCCACTGTATCTATAGAAAGAGCCACAGTCATCACCCAGACTGGACTTCGAACAAGCATGACTTTGTTCATCTCCATTACATGGTGGATTGCTGTGATATTTGTGCTTTCTTTCTGTACTTTCTGAAAATGTTCTTAGACTGAAAAATTAATACTAATGCAGCCACCGCATCTAAAGACTGGTAAGCTGCAATATATTAAATTTTTGTTTTTGGATTTAGATCTACAGATATCCTATCTTCTATCCTGAGCCATATTTGAGCTGCACTGTACATAGGTATATTCAGATTACAGTGATTTCAGCAGTCATATTTGTACACATAAGAACCCTTTCACACAGGCACCTTCAGTTCCGGTCAGGATGGGATTCGTGCACAGATCTCTTGCTGATCGGAATGGATGTCACCGATGTGACATCTGTATCCATCCAGTTTTTTCCTCCTTTTTGCAATGTAGGAAAAAACTGAAATTACCGGACCCGTGTTGGTCTATTGGGAGTCGGATGTACAGTAAATCAGAGTACCACCAAACCAGCACGATCATGTCTGGCGAAATGGAACACTGTTCCGTTAGTTTTCACAGACCTGGCCGGAGTTGGGCGTAACCGTATGTGAATGGAAACCCATCCGTATAAATCCGGGTGCCCATAGACTAAAATTGGGCTTCCGGTCCGCCCAAAAAACTGACAGACAGACCTGATCGGAATGCTCGTGTGAAAGGGTCCTTAGAGCTATCTAGGTGCAGAATGAAAAACAATAAATTGTTTAAGAAGTTGACAGGTCCAGAAAGTCACAGAAAAATGAGGAAGCATGCAAAAGGGGTGAAGCAATATAAATGAAAATGAGTCGTAAGAAAAAAAATATGGAGGTGCTGTTACTGACTTGTCTTGGAAGGTGTGGGCTGCATGGGGCTGTCATGTATACAGGTAAACCAGGTGTTCACCTATGCATATATAAATGTGTTATGACTGTGCTTTATAGGTTGAAGAACATCAGCAGCGACTGCAGAAACAGTACAATGACAGCGTGGCAGAGAAAGACCAGCTGGCGTACAGGAAACAACTCACCACCAAACGTCTGGAGAGGGCTTCCGTGCTCATCACCGCTCTGGAGGAGGAGAAGGTGCTGTGCAGAACTATTGTTTGAAGAGAACCAGTCACAACTGTGCTCAAACAAGCCCTATTGTCTCAGCTCACCTATTATAGAACACTTACCTTTGGGAGTGTGCATTATTATAGATCTATATTTCTCTCTTATTTAGCCTAAAGTAGCCAACAAATGTCAGTATTACATAGAGTAGTATTGGTTAAAATCCCTGTCAGTCTTTTTTTTTTTTGTAAGAGTGGATAGTTGTTGTTGGATCCCTGGAGCTTTTCTCTATTACCATTCCGTGGTGGTACTGATGTGCAGTTTCTGCACACACAAGTAGGTCATCCTGGGCTGAGACTGGAATGAGTGAATTTAGAACAGAATTGTCACACTGCAATTTTGTAAACCAGATATAAGTTTATTCCAATGTAAAATGAGATGAAAAGTGTATACAAAGCCAACAGTTTTCAGGGGCTAAGCCTTGCCTCCTTCATCAGGGCTACAAAATGACAAATCACTATAAATGTATAAATGTCATTATATACAGTATACATATATATTTATATATAGATAATAATAGGCAGGTAACAGATTCTAGGATATACCATATTAATAATATAAAAATGGAACCTCAAAAGTTCAGCAGCCAGCAGAGTGCAGAGCACATTTGTAAATGACATCACAGTGCTTTTAGAAATGAGCCCTTCCCATATATGTTCTCTTTAAAGCCATCAGTAAGGCTATGTTCTAGTCCTGATGACAGTACTGCTTCCTCACACAGGTACGCTGGAAAGAGTCAGTGGACAGGTTGGACCTGCGATTGGACGGTATTGTTGGTGATGTCCTGGTTTCAGCCGCATTCATCGTGTATTGTGGTGTGTTTACATCTGAGTATCGGGCACAGCTGGTTGAGCAGTGGTTGGGATTCTGCAGAAACTACAAGATACCGGTGTCAGAGGATTATTCTGTCATTAGAGCCATGGCAGGGAAGAGTGAGGTAAGGTACCCCCGCTACATGTATCCTCTGTGTGTAAATAAATATCATTCATGGGGGTTCTGCAGCAGATACACTGCAATCTTACTTTATAAAGGGATTCCACAGATATCAATTTTTTCATGCAAAAGTACACACACTATCGTTTTGTACTGTACAGTATATAGGTATATTTATTTTGTCAAATTATCATACAATGCCTAAGGCCCTCATTTGGTTAGTGCTGTGACATTATTTCCCATTCTGTCTCTCTGTCTCTGGTAGGTGTGGAGGTGGCAGAGTGAAGGGTTACCCCCAGACCCATACTCCACGGAGAATGCCATATTGGTGAAAAATGGTCGGCGTTGGCCTCTTCTCATTGATCCCCACGATCAGGCCCATAAGTGGATTTGCCAGATGGAAGGCGACAAACTGCGCCAGGTTCTGGTCTCCGACCCTGGATATATGAAGACCTTGGAAAATGCCATACGCCTTGGGGAACCCATACTTTTACAGGTGTTCTATGAATGTATAATACACCACTTCCATGGAGTGTCTACATGTGTCCCAGTTAAAGGGAACCTGTGCCATTGCTGACTTGGCTCCAGGATGTGTCATCCTGATCTACCGTCACTACCCATAAGTCACTAACCTGGAAGAGGATCACAAAATGGGAGTTCCTGCCGTATATATATTACTGGCTGCATGCTTGTCCTGAGCCAATGACTGATTAGACAGTGAAGCCAGGATCAGAACGGCAGCCCTGGAGTCTTTAAAAACCAGTCAGAAATGGCAGTCTCCATGTTACTGTCATAACAGGTTCACTTTAATCAGCTCTGACATCAGATTTTTAAAATGATACAACCTGGACAATGTAACTAAATTGAGGGTCCCTAAAGGTGGGAGAATTACATTTAAAGACTCTATTTCTGTTAATTCACAGCTTAGGTTTACACATCTCCACCACACAGCACAGTCAGGTGTATGACACCACTTAAAGTGGTAAACCTAAGCAAAAATGTAATATATTAAAGTGTACAGCCCTTAGATGTGGTGGCTGCAATAGCGTTCATGTTTTTTTTATTTCTTTTCATCTGGTGGTCCTGCCAGTAACACTTTTTGTCCTAGAGTGACATCGCTCACTCAGTTTACTGTATCTGAGGAGGAGCAGAGTTGTCATCCTAAGACAGGTCTGCAAAACACCTCCCACTCTCCTTTTCTCAATATCATAAGGTGGAAGTGTTTGTTTGGTAGTCTATAGAGGAGAACCTGGCCAGGCTGAGAGCATAGAAAGTGTGAAACTCACAGGGTTCCAGGCAGGATCATAAGGTATTTTTTGCAATAGGTGCACTAATCGAACAGATATTTGAAACTCTTTAATGGTATTTTTAAGAGATCAGAAGGGAGCAAATAAGATAAGTTAATTGTTAGGGTTTATATACACTTAAAGAAGAATTTAAAAAGCTACCCCCGCACTGCAAGAGTTCAGTAAAGAAGATATACTCAGATATACCCTGATCCTCAGTCCCATGGGGTTGCTAGACTGGTTCCCGCAGCCTCTTCTCTCCCGGGCTAGGGACTGGTAACAGCAACACGTCCAATGCAGGTCCATTGATTTGGATTAGATGTGGGGACGCCGAGGGACACTCCACAGCCGGAGCGGAGGGGAAGAGAGGTGTTTATATCTGCTTTGTTTGAGCCACCCAGACAATCCGGGCACTTAACCCTTGTGGTTTGGAGGTAGCTCCACTGCAAGGGTACGTTTTTTAAATTCCTGAAGTTCTTCTTTAAACCTTGACTATGTCTGCCATTCTCAGAGTGTCTTTGGCCGCCTGTTTCTGAAAATATCTGTCTCTGTTTATGTCTGCCATGTCTTCATCTAATATATGACCGCATATATAGCAGTTATCAGAACAAAGCATAGAACATGCTTTATGATGGAAGACATTTTACTATTGAAATACATCAATCAAAATGAATCCATAGAAATAAACTTATATATTAACAATAAAAAACCCAAACAAAATAGACAATTATTGTATTGTCAGGAATAATGTTCTCCCTGTAAAAGATTAAAGTTGCTGGAATTTACTTTAGATGGTAATGATCTGTAGTAGTGTTCAGTTATAAGGTCACTAAGCTCCATGTTAAATCTTAATATTATAACATTATTAGAATAGTAAATCATTGTTTCCTGTACAGTATAATGTATATAAAACACAAACTCTTTATTCAATTTATTTTGGATAACATAGGGAAGGATTAAAACCCCTCTGTCATGTTTTCTTTTTTGTCATCTGTGTCCATTTGGGGAGATTTCCCTTCATTTCCTGTCCTATAACCGCAACAGAAAGTGAGGAGAAATCTATCCAAGGTGAGGGGGATTCCCTTTTTAGTTGTCCATAAAACAAGTTTCCCACGCAGTGGCGTCACAAGCAGGGTGCGGGGCTACAGTTATTTTGGTGTCACCCCCTCTAAAAAGTCAGGCACTCAGTCATGGGCTGAGAGCCCGACAGTGAGGGGACCCGGCGGCATACCTCATCCCGCTGGGTGAACGTCCCCTCCTCTCTCTTTTGGCATCCATCACTAAGATGGCAGGCGTCAATTAGATGACCGCGCATGCGCGATGACGTCACGGCGGGGTGTCACCCGGCCTCCACTCCGGGTGACACCCTGTTCTCACGGAAGATTTACTCTCTATTCCTGTTCTGGTACCAACTCAAAATTTTTGATTGCTTGTCAGTTTCAATCTCAGCGACAATGAGGACAAATAGAGAAGGCAAATCTTCATAACATGAATACAGACAGTAAGAAAAATCTCACAGGTGTTCTACCCCCATACCAATCTATCTAAAAAGTTTTTACTTTAGGTACACTTTAAAATGTATATCAAAGTGTAACTCCAGCCATTTTTGTTTAATGAAATTGGGTAGATCCCCTGAATGTGAAATCCACAACTTTGAGGTTAGCTGTCTGGGTCCCAACTGAGGAAATTTCCCTTTTCTTCCTACCTACATGACCATTGTCACCAGGGCATGGAGTTTGAGGAATCTTCCCAGTTAGTACCTTACTATAAAAAAAAAGATACTCAAATGATATACCGACGCAAATACATCATAGCACCACATCCCAACAAACATAGACTGCAAACATATGACATCAAAGTCTTTGATGTTGTACGTTTGTTAAAAAAAAGTGTCTTTGTCTACATTGAAGAGATTTTTCCTCACTTCCTGTCCCAGTGATGGTAGTTATTGAGACAAAAAAAGTTATTGAGACATCTCCCTCACTTCTTGGGCTCAAAGAAAAAGTCTGGGACTGGACTTTCAGTTCAAACCATTGTTGGTATTATAATTATTTTTATTTTTTTGTTATTGCTGTTACAATTGTAGTTAGTAGCATTATATATAGATACCATTCCTAGTATTCAGACACAGCTCACCTATTCGGTCCTGTCTTATTAGGATGTTTCAGAAGATTTGGACCCAGGTTTAAAGCCAGTTTTGGGAAAAGAAATCCACAGTCGGGCTGGACAAGATTATATACGACTTGGTGATTCTGAAATTGAGTACAACCAGAATTTTAGGTAAGATGTTATTTTGTAATTAGATAAAGGATTCTGGAGCTCCTCTCTGTCATGACCTGTGGCAGGCTCTCTACCGCAGCTTGAAGGTGATATTTGGTATTGCATCCAGACTGCGGTTGAATGGGATATGGGCACTGATAATCCCCAAAGTGGCTCAAAGTTAGCTGAACCTAATTAACTTAAGGAATTCCTGGTAAAAGTGCAATAAAATCGAGTATTTTAAAAGCTTACATGCAGTGTTTTTGCCTCCCATAAATCATTTTTATTGACTTGTAATGTGCCTCTGAACTTGCAAGCAAGGACAATACCCCATCACAGCTCCCTCCCTCCTGCTGCCATAGCCCTCATCTCTTCTAGGACTCCCCTCACATCCCCACTTAAGGTGCCCACACACCTTGCGATAATCCTACGATAATCGCGGGAAATCCCGCGATCGTACGATTATCGTAAGGTGTGTGGAAGCCGTGCGACCTCTGCTACTGTAAGGTCGCACGACTTTTATCTTAGGAACATGTTCGAAAACCCACCGAGCATCATGCGATGTTCGGCGGGTGTGTAGCATGTTCGTAAGATAAAAGCCAGGCGGGCCGGTGTGCGCAAGCGCACACTGCCCGTTCGGCATTGCGGTCATCGGAAGCCCGCCCCTCAGAGGGGCGTGGCTTGCGATCATCGCAAGTACGATCTGCCTGTCCAAGATAGGCAGATCGTACGGTTTTTTAATTACCTTTCAACCATCGCAAGACAAAAGTCTTGCGATGGTTGTAAGGTGTGTGCCCAGCCTTAACCTTATGCAGCTGGCAGGGGAGGAGCGAAGGGGAGTACTACAGAATGTCACTTGAGTGACAGCTCTGAGTCTGCCGGGGCTGCTGATATCACATCCAAGATGGCGGTATCCAGCAGCAGTTTCAAGGATGTCTACACAATAGTATGTACAGATAAATTACATACTTAAAATACATTAAATGCACATGTAACCTTATGGTTAGATTGTTGTTGACCTGAATGGTGTGGTAGCAGCGTCTCCTTAAATTATAGTACTATGTTTATCTCACCCTCATCTTTCTACATAACACTACGTTTCACTAGCAAGGGCCAGCGGCACAGGATGTTACCACAGGGTCCATAACAGTCATATAACATAATGTTATTTTATTGGTGTAGGTATTTTGGTGCAGAAAATGTGGTGCTTTGTATATTGGTGGTAATTCATTTGTTCCATTAATTTGTTTTTGGCACATGACCTTTTCAGTGTGTGATAGTACTAATGCTGTATCACAGTGCTAGTGTTTATCGATGTGATAGCATACATTTTACCTGAAGTTTATGGTTATTCTTATGGGTTATGTTCAAGTCAAAACATATCTAGACCAAAAAACAAAAATGTAATATATAACAGTTTACCAGTACTCAGATGTGGTGGCTGCATTCGTTTTCTTTTTTTCAGGATTTGTTTCAATATTTGCTCCTGGTGATCCTGCCAATAACACACTTCCTGTCCTTGTGTGACAACGCTCACTCATCGTACTGTATGTATGGAGCTTCAGCGTTGTCACTGTTTTTGTGCTTACTGTAAAATCTTGTTCTTGGAGTCTGTTGACTCCTCACCTCTCATCCGTTTTTTCACAAAACCGAGGCATGCTGGGTAGTGTAGGAGTTATACAGGGGCTGGCTTACATTTTTTTCTGTTTGTCAGTGTCCCAACCTTACATAGGCAGTAGTATAACCCAACTGTTTCTGAATTCCTGTGTCCATCAATGGATTCCATGAAGATAAATGTAAAAATCTTATGATTGTGATCATGTATATTGACAGCATATTTATATTGTCTTGTTTAAGGCTCTACATGTCCACCCAGAACCCCAGCCCTCACTTCCTGCCTGCTGTTTGTATCATGGTGACCGTGATCAGCTTCACAGTAACTTTTAAAGGGTTGCAGGACCAGCTCTTGTCCAGTGTGGTGACACATGAGCAGCCCCATCTGGAGCTGCAGAGGAACCAGTTACTGGAAAATATATCTTCTGATCTGTGCACGCTGCGAGAGCTGGAGGAACGCTCGCTCACTTTACTGCAGAAAACAGAAGGTAAGGTGGTCGATGGGGGCGTTTTTTTTAAATTGAAAAAATTATTCCTATAGTAAATAGATCTGCTACATTTGTCTACCAGTCCATAGGCAGCATGGTTATCAGTAATTGTAGTACTCTGGTCCAGCAATCATTTGTCACTAGGCGAGTATCTTCATGGAGTTTGAATGACCTTCCATTATTTGTGTAGGCTTCTTTTAGGTGCTCTGATTTTCTATCACCATCCAAAAAACATGTTGGCGAGTTAACTGACGTAGAGGTGCCAGAAGATATTTCTCTCACCCTCCAAGCTTCATTGCTACTTCTGGTCCTGGTCGTTCTGATGTGGAAAGCTCCAACACTTCCTCCTGCCTGCACATTCCTATTGCCCAGTGAGGCAGCCCATAGTGATAGGCCAATAGCAATATTAGGAATAAGTTGAAGGTGGCAGGAAGCTTTGACATTACCAAGAAGATTCAGGGCTTTTTCTTTTTTTTTGTCAGACTGGCATATGGGTTGAGCTTGTAGACTTCTATAGTTATGTCCAGGCAGCAGGGTTTTATTGTAAAATATTTTTGCTTTGAATGAAACCACAGGAACTACAAAAAAACTAAACTAACAGCTGATGGTACCTTTCAATTCAGGTTTTGTTCCCCCAGTGTTGCCTGAACCTGCCCTAAATTATCTCTATTTTCCCATAGTGTTTTAGGCACACTCCATGCCCTGATCCAACAAAGCAATGCCCAATGCCTAAGCAACCATCAGCAGGGGCAAGGACTGTCATGTGAGGGGATGGGATGTGTTTTTAGCTTTTCAAATTCAGACTTTGATAGCCACTTTGGAAGGGCTCCAGGCAGTGCTGGTGGGGCAAAACCTGAACAAATGGTATGTGCCGACAGCTTATGCTTTCAGCTGCCTTCTACAGCTTTTGGCCTTCCTTTTATATGTGTCTGGAACCTTATGTCTACATATCAAAATACTGGCCATTGTAGTATTACCATGTAATCATTTATCTAGGACACCTGCTTGATGACGAGGACCTCATTGACACTCTACAGAAATCCAAACTGACTTCTAAAGACATTATGGAGAGAATGAAAGCTTCTGGGAAAACAGAGGAAACCATTGACGCAGCCCGTGGTATCTACCTACCTGTAGCCAGTAGAGGGGCCGTGCTGTACTTCATAGTGGCCGACCTTGTTCATCTCAACTACATGTACCAGTTCTCCCTGCACTGGTTCCACAAGGTGTTTGTGGAATCTATGGATGTTTTAAAGACCAACCAAACTCACGTCTCTTTAATGTCGTCTTCCGGCACCATCCGCCCACTGAGCAGACAGAAGACTATAGAGAAGGAAGCCGAGGATAAGGAAAGACAGGACATTGAAAGGCACCTCCACAACATTTGTGATACTCTGACCAGAAATGTCTACAAGGTAATCATGTGGCTATTATTGTAGTGCTTGTTAGGTGTGTCCAATCCTGGAGAATGTATTCTTTGGTGACGGTCTGTATAATAAGAACCTAATCAGACTTAAAGGAGATTGTGACATAAGAAAGTGCATATTTACAGTGCATTGAGGAAGTACATCCTGTGAGCATCTTCAGTAAGTACGTTTACATACTTCTCGATCAGGAGTGGGCAATTGCGGCCTTCCAGCTGTTGTGGAACTAAAAGTACCATGAGGCATTGCAAGACTGATAGTTACAGGCATGGCATCCAGAGGCAGAGGCATGTTGGGATTTGTAGTTAAAGCGCAGCTGGAGGGCCGGAGTTGCTTGCCCCTGTTCTAGATGCATATGATTATTAGGAGTGGGATAGAAATACTATATATACTATACTATATTTTTTCTTTGGTTTGACCATGGATACACTTTAACAGGCTGAGCTGCAGTCATTAAACACATCTGTGTTACATGAGGCAATGAGCATATTTTAAACACTTCTGCTATGCACAATGAATACATGAAGAGCCTGTTCAGGTATAGGAAAACAAGGCAGGTAATTGGTTAAACCGGCAAATTTTGGTATTTCACTTTCCTGCCTTCCAACCTAAAGTCTGTCAGAAAGAAGACACATATACTGTAAATGTGTTTAATAAAGATATACAAGAGTCAGAAATTCAGTGGCTGCAGCTAAGAGATTTCTAAACCTTTTTGTTTTCCTGTAGATTGTATCATCGTCCCTCTTCACAGAACACAAGCTCTGCTTCTCCTTCCTGCTGGCAGTGAACATTATGAGGAATGGCAGCGAGGATCTTCCGGGTCCTCTGGGGTTCCTACCACATGCCGAGTGGAATTTCTTCTTGAATTCGGTGCTGCTGACCAACTTCATGGGCAGGAAGGACTCCCCAGGAGACGGCGGTACCAGAATCTCATATCTTTGTCTTTTCACATATCTACCACTCCTTACATGACCTTCCATCTAAAGGCAAAACTCCACACTAACAACATAAAGTGTATCTCTATCCAAAATATTTTTATTTTTGGACAGTGAAGGGAATGTTTAAACCCCCTCAGAAACGCAACAGGTGAGAGGAAACCTCTGTAACATGAGCAGAAATAGCCTCATAAAACAGTTGTAACTAGAACAGGTGTCCCCATTGGAAGATTTCCCTTCCTGTTATAAGGAGGTATATAGTGGAGGTGATCAGCACTGTTTTTTCAGTATTGCTGGAGTCCTGGTTGGGTGGGTTGTTGTATAGGTGCACATGCATCTCTCTATTGTACTTGAAACACCCCATCTACAATTGCCCAGTCCTCAGTCCTTTCCGTCATCCCCAAGCCCTGATGAAGCCCTTGGAACCCCAAAACACTTTGTCTCTTTCTGGAATAATATATCATGACTGGCACTGTCTACATTTTCTTCTGCTATAACATCACAAGCTGCGGGAGATGAATGGGGGGAAAAGTTGAGAAGTATTCTGTGATATTTCTAGAAATATCTATTCCCAAGTTTTAAAATGCTAACACAATATGCGATAGTGAATCAGCTAAAGCATAGGGCCTGTTAAAAGGGTTTACTAGATCCAGTTTATTAACAAACCTGAATAACACCCGAAGTTCTCAATTATAGGTATGGCATTGGAGAGAGAGGTATGTGTACCCGCTAAAGACTTCAGGGTGTCATCCTCATATAGTATGATCTTGATTCTTTGTGAGCCTCGGATAAGGCCACCCTCTGTTAGAATGTGCTAATTGGAGCAGCCAAAGGCTCAAATTCCAGTGAGAATAGTAAGACAGGGATAAGGGACAGGCATGACGTGTGCCCCTATGAAGAGAAAAGCTGGATTAATAAGTCACTGACCCAACACATGCCTGAG